ACTATGTCTCATAAAAACAAACATCTCTAAATAATAGCAAAACTGGTTTCCAGGGAACCAAAAAATAGGTTATGAGAAAAAAGAATCCTCTTTATAGGTCAGCATCTTTATTGCCGGGCAGTGGTGTTGCACGTCTTTAATCCCAGCACTTGGGAGGCAGAGTCAGGTGAATTTCTGAGTTCGAGGCCAGCCTGGTCTACAGCGTGAGTTCTAGGGCAGCCAGGGCTATACAGAGAAACCCTGTCTCGGAAAAACAAAGAACAAAACAAAATAATAATTATTAATAACATGCTTATTTAATTTTAGTTTGAAGATTTAAAAAAAAAAAAAAAAGTTGAAGGTTACCATAGAGCTGGAGTGGGGTTGTTAGCTTAGCAGTAGGGTGCTTGAGTAGCATGGGATATATAAAACCTAAGGTCTAGATTGACAGTACATTGCAAAAACAACCAAACAGTAAGTATCAAAGACGTTTATACATCAATGTTCACCACACTATTTACTACAGCCAAGTGTTAAATTTATTTTATTTTTTTATTTTTCTGAGATGAGGACTTTTTTTAAAAAAACGTAGTGTAAGGGCTAGAGAAAAGGCTCAGCAGTTACGGATGAGTACCACTCTAGCGGAGGACCAGCACCCACACCAGGTGACTCACAACTGCCTATAACTCCAGCCCCAGGGGCTCAATGCTGGGGGCCTCCATAAGCATCTACACTCACTTGCACATACAGACTCTTAAACATGGGTTTTGGGGGGTTTTTTGTTTTGTTTCGAGACATGGTTTCTCTGTATAGCCCTGGCTGTCCTGGAACTCACTCTGTAGACCAGGCTGGCCTCGAACTCAGAAATCTACCTGCCTCTGCCTCCCAAGTGCTGAGATCAAAAGCATGCGCTACTACTGCCTGGCTTCACATACATGGTGGTTTTTTTTTTTCACATACATGTTTTTGGTTTTTTTTATATTTTAATGACTTATCTATTTATTTTATGTATATGAGTACACCATTGCTCTCTTCAGACACACCAGAAGAGTGCATCAGACCCCATTGCAGATGGTTGTGAGCCACCATGTGGTTGCTGGGAGTTGAACTCAAGACCTCTGTAAGAGCAGTCAGTGCTCTTAACCACTGAGCCATCTCTCCAGCCCCACATACATGTTTTTAAAGGAAAAAAAAAAAAATTTAAGTCCTCTACACAAAGGATGAAATACTATTCAATGAGAAAAGGAATAAAATTCTGATACATACTATCTAATCAACTTTAAGAAACTATTATACTAAGCCAAGTAAGGCAACACAGAAAAAAACATATTGTATCATTCCATTTACACTTGAAACACAAAATTCATAGAGAAAGCAAAGTAAAAATTATCAGGGCTACAAAAAGAAGCTGAAAGTTAATTGTTACAGAGTTTCTGATATATTGAAGTTTTAGCAATAGTCACTGTTGGTTGTAACTTGGATGTAACTAATCCCATAGAACTCTATCTATACTTTCTTTAAAGTGGCTTAAAAGGTAAATTTTTGTTACAATGTATATAGTACAATGTAGGTAAAGTGACACACCTTATAACCTTAGTACTCTGGAAGCTGTAGTAGTAGTAGGCAGTCCAGGCCAGCATGTGCTACATGAAACTTTATCTCAAAAAAAGACAAGTTGCACAGGCCTTAAATCTCAGCACAAGGAATCTGAGGCAGCCAGAATATTTAGCAAGACCCTATCTCAAACGGATGAAGGTTGTTGGGAAAATAGCTCAGTTGGTAAACTGCTTCCTGAATTGAATGCCCAGGACCAACAATAAAAAGATGGGAGTGTGGGGCTGGTGAGATGGCTCAGTGGTTAAGTGTACTGACTGGTCTTCCGGAGGTCATGAGTTCAAATCCCAGCAACCACATGGTGGCTCACAACCATCTGTAATGAGATCTGATGCCCTCTTATGGGGTGTCTAAAGACAGCTACAGTGTATTTACATACAATAAATAAATTTAAAAAAAAAAAAAGATTAAAAAAAAAAAAAAAAAAAGATGGGAGTGATGGTCCATGCTTGTAATTTCAGCACTGGAAAAGTGCAGACAGGAAAATCCTAGGGATAAGATGGCTGTAACTGCTGGGCGGTGGTGGTGCACACCTTTAATCCCAGCACTTGGAGGCAGAGGCAGGTGGATTTCTGAGTTCGAGGCTAGCCTGGTCTACAGAGTGAGTTCCAGGACAGCCAGGGCTACACAGAGAAACCCTGTCTCGAAAAAACAAACCAAAAA